ATTATTATTATTATTATTATTATTATTATTATTATTATTATTATTATTATTATGTTGTTGTTGTTGTTGTTATTATTATTCTGGTTATTGTTATTGTTATTGCTATTATTACTATTTTACAGGCCAATTTACATAAATGATAATTTTCATCAAGGGAATTTACTGTTGTGTATTTGTTAGTCTTCACAGTTTTGCATGTTGAAGATATGACGTCAGTTCCCGTGTTGGGAAAAGAGTTTGTTGAATATTTTTGTCTTTCTCGTCTGTTTGTATCCCCCTTGGCCAGGGCAAACCTTGCAGGCAGAGACGGCCGAGAAAGTCATAGCACTACATTAGAGTTAAGACAAGATTAGATAAGATAATATTTTATCATCCCAGAGGGAATTTTTTTTAGCTGTACAGGGCCGTAAAAACACATGCAGGTATACATAAAAAAATTAAATTATTTATTATTATCATTAAAATTCAACATGAAAAGAGAAGTGTAGCTGACAAAATGTACATATCACATCAGATGCATCATTCAACCACATGCAGGAATTCAATTGCAAGACCTCGGAAGTTATATCGATACATTCTCTAAAGAACAATACACATTATGCTTCAGACAATAGCCTTATACTAGATGGGAAAAAATTTCTTTTATATCTTTCTTTCTTTGTTTTTGGAGGTACATATCTCCCGCTGCGTGATCTCACAATCTGTGTGGAAAGGGGGTGTGATGGGTCGTTTATAAACTAACACCATGAGATCAGAAATAAAATGTTCTATCTGCTTTTTCAAAATCGTAAGATTATTCTGAGACGTTATCAAGATATTCAAATAATTGCATTCGGAAAAAAAAAGCTTAACCATGTTGTGAAACTCAAAAATCTGTAACGTCAAATGTATCAAAACAAGGTACTGAGTACTGAGCAATAAGAACTTTTGTACTTCTAGGGTAGCGGTAGCTTTATGACGTTATGGAGACCTGACATCGTACAACATCACACAAAGTCAGGTCGTCCTGCTCCCAACAGATAGAAGTGAACTTTTATTTTGTTTTAATTTTTTGTTTTGTTTTGGGTTTTTTGTTTGTTTGTTTGTTCTCCAAATTCTAGTCTCCACCAATTTTTTGCATTTTTTTTTTATCTCCGTGTTCACAACCATGATGATGATGATGATGATGATGATGATGATGATGATGATGATGATGATGAT